TCCAGGGCTTCCTGATGAAGCTAATCGGTTAGCTCAGCCTGAAACGTGGCGGATTCGTTGGTCTTCCAGCTCTGAAACATTTTCTGCCTCATACAGATTAATAATCAATGAAATGTTCTGGACAGGCGGCCATGGTTCTGGTTCTGATCATCACCCCGAATGACAACATGAATGATGCTAGTAAAGGCATATGGTGACATTTAATGGCACATTAGATCATTTCCTTCAGTTGTTATAAAAATTCTTTTTATATCAAAGAAATTTGACATAATTTAAGATCTTGAAATTGGGCTCCGTCTCTTTAAGAAGCTCCTGCTTCTTCTGAAGCTCCGCCTTCCAACATGGCGCCTCTATTAACCCCTTAATGTTTTCACCAGTGTTGCCCTGAGCAGCAGCTGCTGGCTAGTCTGAAGGAGCTGAGAGGGGGAGGAGCTGCGCCTCCAGGGTGAGGCGAGGTATACACAGGCATTTTGCACAGCTGAATAGTTGCCATGGAGATTAAACGGTTTCTCAAACATGAATTAATGAAGGAAAACATGACATGAAGGTTCACACAGCAGGCGAATCGGACCCGACACTCACAGTCAGTGAACGCATCACACCCTACCACTCCTGGTCCAACAGAACCGGGTCAGAACCGGATCAGAACCGGGTCAGAACCGGATCAGAACCGGGTCAGAACCGGGTTAGAACCGGATCAGAACCGGGTCAGAACCGGATCAGAACCGGGTTAGAACCGGATCAGAACCGGGTCAGAACCGGATCAGAACCGGGTCAGAACCGGGTCAGAACCGGATCAGAACCGGGTCAGAACCGGATCAGAACCGGGTCAGAACCGGATCAGAACCGGGTCAGAACCAGGTCAGAACCGGATCAGAACCGGGTCAGAACCGGATCAGAACCGGGTCAGAACCAGGTCAGAACCGGATCAGAACCGGGTCAGAACCGGATCAGAACCGGATCAGAACCGGATCAGAACCGGGTCAGAACCGGATCAGAACCGGATCAGAACCGGGTTAGAACCGGATAAGAACCAGGTCAGAACCGGGTAAGAACCGGATCAGAACCGGGTCAGAACCGGATCAAAACCGGGTTAGAACCGGATCAGAACCGGATGAGAACCGGGTCAGAACCGGATCAGAACCAGGTCAGAACCAGGTCAAAACCGGGTCAGAACCGGATCAGAACCAGGTCAGAACCGGATCAGAACCGGGTCAGAAGCTGCAGCTCCAGTAAACGCCGCTACTGTTAGCTGTTAGCTTTTTATCTGCGTCCTTCGTTCGCTGACCGTCTGGTTCTACAGGTTCTGAAAGGTTCTGTATGGTTCTGCAGGCTCAGCCCAGTCAGAAACCCGACCCATCAATGATCCGCTGTGCTGCAGCTGTCGCTAAGCTAACTCTGAGCTATTATTAACCCAGCAGCTCCGGTTCTGTTGGACTCCATCAGAAGCTTTTACCCGGATGCAGTCCAGGTGTCTTTCTCGACCTGCAGCCAGGTTCTGACCCAATGCTGATGTTGGACCCAACTGGGTCCGGTTCCTGCAGAGGAACCTCAGAGGTCCGGTTAGACCAGACTTCATCATGTTTACTTCTCTTCTTCTGTGGTTTTTCTGTTTGTTTCCATGTGGTAAACAGAGTGAATGTGTCTCTGTCTCTGATTGGTCCAGCGGGGTCATGTGACCGGGGAGCATGGGGGAGAAGGGGTTCTGGAAGTTCAGAGTAAAAATATTTGATTTATTTACTGCTGGTTTCTATTATATAAATAGTTTAATAAGCTGCTGCTCCTCCAGGACCATGCTCTATCGGGACCGGTCCTCGCTGGTACCAGCAGAACTTTGGTTCTGGTCCAGCTGGTTCTGCTGCAGGACCTTGAAACCTTAAACTGATGCAGCGTCCCTGAAGAGCTGCAAGGTGAGCTGCTGCTGCCTCACGAACCAGGACAAAACGCCTCGTTTCTGGAGCACTTCCTGTCCTCCAAACACTCCTCTCCTCATCCCTCCATTCCTCCCTCCATCCCTCCCTCCATCCCTCCCTCCATTCCTCCATCCATCCCTCCCTCCATCCCTCCTTCTATTCCTCCCTCCATCCCTCCCTCTATCCCTCCTTCCTTTCCTCCCTCCATCCTCTCTCCATCCCTCCCTCCATCCCTCCTTCTATTCCTCCCTCTATCCCTCCCTCCATCCCTCCCTCTATCCCTCCCTCCATCCATCCCTCCATCCCTCCCTCTATCCATCCCTCCATCCTCCCTCCATCCATCCCTCCATCCCTCCCTCTATCCATCCCTCCATCCTCCCTCTATCCTCCTTCCATCCCTCCCTCTTTTCTTTCCTTCCTTCTTCCTGCAGTGTCAGAACTCCAAACCAAAGCAGAGTTTGAGGCGTGAATCCAGAGCAGAGGGATTAGGCGAAAACTTTCTGCGGCTGGAAAAGGGAGGAGTGATGGAGGGAGGAATGCGTGGGAGAGAGAGAGAGAGAGGGGGAGAGAGAGAGAGAGAGAGGGAGAGAGAGAGAGAGAGGGAAGTGATCCTGAGGGAGGAGAGAAGTGGGGCGAAGGGAAAGGAAAAGATAAAAACGTTCCAGTGGAAATATTTGAAGCTGGAAGTTCTTCTCTCCAGAAGCTGATTGTTCCCCAGAACTTTATACTATTAATAATACTAATAGTAATAATAATAATGTTTTCATGTAAAACCTACTGCAGATCAAAATACACAGAATAGCTCCAATCTGGGCCAAACGTCCTGCACTGGTTTCACTGGTTTCTTCTGCTGTGTTTCCATTAACCTTAAATTTCACCAATTGAAATTTGAAAAAAATTTATTTGCTAAATGGAAAGATGTACATTTTAAGAAAGAAAAACATGAACATAACTTAGTATAATCACTGTTTTTTAGCATCATGAGTCACATGACCAACAGTTAGATGTTACTACTGCCAGAAAACATGAAGAAGATGACAGGAAGTGGTCTTTGTGGTTTGTCCGAATAAAACAAAAACAAAATACAAAGTTATGAACAGCATCATACAGTTCAGAATAAGTTCTGTTGAGTCTGTAGCTGTTCTGTAAAATGGCCGACGCCCCAGTGGGCGGGGCTTGTTGCTCCAACACTCAGATGCTGATTGGCTGATAGACGATGACTTCTAACAGCTGATTAATATAATATCATGTTTACATCCATCGCTGCCATGATTGTTAATGACTGATTGTGTGAACGTGAGATTTTTTTTTTGACATTAGCAGAAACTCGAGATTTTAGCTCATTTATGAAGGAAATTCACATGTTTGCAGATTTTCAGCTAATTAAACATCACACCTTTACACATTTCACAGTTAATCTTGTCAGCATCAGTTATTTATATGAAACAGAGAATTGCTTTCGTTGTTAAAGCCATTTGTGATTGGACTAGACCGCTCTGGACTTCACGGAGCGGTTCCACTGGTCCACCTCAGATTGGTTTAGTCACAGCGTTTAGGAATCCCATGTTTACAGCTTTGCTTTATGTTTATTCTCTACATGTTTGTTTTCTAAGTCAACATTTTAATGTTCTTTTATAATAATCAACAGATTTGAGCTTTAAAACATTTAAAAGAACATTTCAGCCTTTTCTTCAGTAAAAAACAAAGCCACTGCAGGAAATGAAAAAATGTTGAAAGTTTAATTTAGAAACTTAAATAAACATCAGAAACAGTAAAATATAAATAATCTAAGAGACAAATAAACGCAGAACTGACCTGCAGATGGAGATGAATTAACAGAACAAACATAAAGAAAGACAACAGATGACTTCTGGAATAATGTTGCTATTTTTTAGATGGATCCGGACCGGGTCAGAACATTTTTTCCTCAGGATGAATCCAGCTGATGATCCTCTGACCCGGTTCTGGGTGGGATTCCAGCAGAACCTCATCAGGGGCTTTTTGGGATGTTTGAACCGTTTCTGTTTCTTCTCACCACAGATCTGTGTGTGTCTGTGTGTGTGTCTGTGTGTGTGTCTGTGTGTGTGTGTGTGTTTACAGAGCTGGGTTACATGGAGGTGAACCTCCGTTCGGTGTTGGTCAGCTGGTTCTGATTGGACGGTTCAGTTCTATTGAACTCAGCTGGTTCTGGAGGTCCAGATGTCCATCGTTGGTAGAAATCGTGCCTCTGAAGGACAGTTTATCGTCTAGTGTCTCTGAGACATTGGGCGGATTGGGTCAAAGGTCAGGTGGTGTTTGGACCCAGAACCAGGACCTGGACCCTGCTGGGTTGGTTCGGGGTCACTGAGTGGTTCTGAGTGGGTCCAGGCTCGGGTGGTTGCTGCAGCCAGGAGGGTGGGGTCCAGACATGGACAGGAAATGAAAGCGGGTCGCTGCCTCTGGGCAGGAAACCAGCAGAGTGACTGACTCTGGACCGGCCCGCTAGCTGCTGAACCAGACAGAAATACTGACCATGAACCAGCCAGAACCGAGCCGAACCAGGTTCTGCAACAGTCTGGAATATAAACCAGCAGACTGTAATCTTCTGTCGTTCTGAACCAGTAACAGGTTTATTTCTGGTGTTGGATCCAGAGTTTACCTGGAGCCATTTTTATTAGTATTTAATAAAAATACTTGTTTGAGGACGAATCAGATAGTAAAGTGGAACTAACCCCCTGTGAAAGCTTAGCCCCGCCCCCAAACCCATTTAAAAAAGTTCTACCAAAGTGGGCGGAGCCAAGATGCATTGAGGGGCGTGGTCAAGATGCATTGAACTTTATTGCCATATTTGGTGGCTTTTCGGACCTCATTGGAGACTTTCTATCAGGTCCCTGATATAGAAGGAAAAAATCTTTACATAATCTGTCAACATAATTTAAAAAATGAAGAACTTATTTTCCTTAATAGTGTGCCTAAGTCAGGGTGCGGAGTCCAAAGCATCCTTCAGCTTCAGAAGCTTCCCTGCTCCAGTCAGCCGTGTGTTCAGAGCTGGATGGCTGCTGGAGAGAAACCTGGTCTGTTGGAGTGAAGACTTGAACTCTTCTGCTC